AGTGGCCCCGAGTCAAAATGGCCGACCACGTCGAACGCGCCATTAGGCTCCAGGTGATGAAGTAATTTTTCGAAATGCCCGTTTACCTCAGTGAGCGAGCTCAGTTTGTTCAACCCGCGGGTCCAGTTAAGCCCGATTACGGGACGATCATGTCTTTGGGCCCAATCGGCGAACGCCGAAAAGTTAGCCGTTAACGTCGGCATAATATAAATGGGTCGTCCGGTTTCAATATTATTAAGCTTGGTATATTTGTCGCTAGCTAAGATAAACACTTGGTTGGACAGGGCGCTGGATAACGATACCATGGCATCAATGTGACTTTTTAACGGTAGATAGTCACCGTGCCCGTAATCTTTTAGCATTCCGATATTGATAGTTCGAACGTGATATAAACTAGCCTGGATATGCCATTGCCGCTCGAACTCGTACTGTATTTCAACAGCGAATAACGATTCGACGCCTATATCACCAATTGTAACCGTGTCTGGCGTAGAATCAGGGTCGATGCCTAATTGATGCCATAAATCCTCCACCATGCGCGATTGTCTGGTGCCATGGGTCGCCAGTTTAGTATCTTGATACGCCTGGTTTTTATTAATTAATAAATTTAGAATCATAAAGTAATATTAATAAACTGGGCTAATTGACAAAAGACATCTAAACATTTCATTAAATGAATGTTATTTCAAAATCAAGCTGAATAATTTGAATAGTTGTTAGTTAAGGGAATTGATGTATAAAACGTGAGAGCCATATAAAATTAGTAATGCTACAATAGGGTTATTAAGTGTGTGAACCAATAATTTGGACCTCTATTTTCAAAGCCTTTTTAAGGTTGCAATTAATGTAGTCATATAAATGCAAAATTGCAATATGAATTGACCCACGGTTATATGAATAACCACTTAGCTTAATATTCAAACACTATGTATTGGGATTGACTTATATGCATTTCGGGCATTCAAAAGCGAGAGAGCTAGTTATAAATTTAATTATTATTAAATATTAAATTATTATTAATTTTTTACAAAGTATTTAATGTAGTTTAAAGTATAATCAGTTAATAATTTACTAATTATAATTTTAATCATATATTAATAGCTCTCTCTCCCAATTTTGTTGTCCTGAATGGGAGAGAGAGTTATTAAAATGTTATTACAATTATAATTAGTAAATTATTAACTGATTATACTTTAAACTACATTAAATACTTTGTAAAAAATTAATAATAATTTAATATTTAATAATAATAAAATTTATAACTAGCTCTCTCGCTTTTGAATGCCCGAAATGCATATAAGTCAATCCCCTATGTATTGAGTAATTACCTTTAGATAATACTATATTGTAATTGATTACAGTAATATAATACATTTAAAATAGTTGAATACATAGTGTTTGAATATAGGGAAACCCGGTTATTAAATTGATCGATTCATATGAATTTCATAAACTACAGATTCAAACGTACAAATGCTGTGACAACTGGTGTATTAATAGCCAACAATGTGTCCAACAAATGGCAATACGAATGGGCGTTCACTTGTTTTAAAGCGGTCACTCGATATATTTCATCCCGGTGCTGCAAGTATTCAACCATGCCCACATCACCGATGGGCCCTAACTGTACAGCCAGGCCGTGTAGACCATCCCGACGCCTCGCCTCGCAAATACGCTCACACACGGAGTTCGCGTAGCCATAGTTAGTCAACGAGGCGGTACCTTTTCCGGTGCCGATCGACGTGAATGCGACAAAATAGTCCAATTCGTAGGTCAATTGGCGGCTCAGTTGATCCAAATTCACCAAAATCTTTGCCTTTACGTCAATCGTTACGCCAAACGTGTCGATCGTATGGTTCGCTACAAAACCGTCCGATAGGTTGACAGCCAAATGAAATACCCCTCCAATGGGCCCTAACTTTTGGGCCTCTTTTAGGAGTTGTTGTGTGCCTTCGGTTGTCACACAATCGGCGGTCGACACCAACCAATCGGACGAATAGTGTCTGTCATTTCGGAAGCGATTGACCACAAACTCGATGTAATTGTTTTGGATACCCGTGCGAGACGTGACCATAAATTTTCTGGCCCCTAATTTTTGCATCCATGGTATCATCTCCCGGCCCATACCGCCTAATCCACCGGTGATTATATAGACTTTGTTTGGATTGAAACGCGTCTTAACCGTAACCATCATATCGACGGCCGGTTTAATGGCTTTCAGGGGCTGTCTGTCCATCTCTTCGTCTCTCATTTTGAGGACTACTTTCCCGATGTGTTTACCGGTTGTCATGAATCGGAACGCCTTCTCGGCCTCCGAGGCATTAAATACCGTATAATTGATTGGTTTTACGCAACCATTCGTACAGTTCTTATGCATCCAATCGTAAAACTCATTCAGAAATTCAATGTCGTTATCAAAATGTGCCATGATCAGCTGCAAATTGTTCTTGACAACATAGTTTGCATTCCTTTCACCAAATCTATCATATTTTTCGACGTCTATTATGCGACCATTTTTGGCCAAACATTCAATACTGGCGTCCAATTTATCACCGGACAGGGAGTTAATCACAATATCGACTCCCTTTCCATTCGTCGCATCCATTATTTGATTCTTGAAGAGAGTATCTCTTGAGTTGAATACCCGGTTCACAGGAATGTTATACTCCTTCGTAAGGAAGTCCTTCTTTTCTTCCGTCCCAACCGTCACATAGATATCGCACCCGTAGTGGAGACACATGTTTATAGCCGACTGTCCCACAGCTCCAGCCGCCGAGTGAATCAATATGCTCTCCCCTATTAGAAATTAACACCAAGATCATTAAATAAAAACATTTAAAAATTCTCATTTCCAAATTCTTACCTCGCTTAATATTAGCTCTTTTTATTAAGCCGTACCATAAGGTGCTATAAGCACTGAGTATAGTCACCGCCTCAGCCATAGACCAATGATGGGGTATTGTAGTCATGCTATGCGTGTTTGCGTTTATTGTTGTAGATATGCAAGATACTTTATCGAGTCCCATAACTCGTTGACCTGTTTTCCAATTACGACCAACGAATTCATGGCCAAGGTAACAATTTTCATGTGACTCATTTACAACGTTACCTGTTTATAAATATAATACTTTAATATGTTAAACAAGTAAAATTAAGAATTTGTGAACATCTAGGATCATTACTACCTAATGCGAGTGCAGCATCTTGGTATCCAATTCCCGAATAATATATTTCTATTAGAGCTGTATTTTCCAATTGATTACTAGTTTGTAGCTTAGATGCCATAGTATTTGTTGATATCTTTTGTAAACCATACAATTGAAGGCTTTCCTCGCCATTCGTTTGTCCCAAACTCAAGTAGTAGTCATTTGTGAGGCATTTGTCGTAATCCACGGGAAGTCTTAAATGCCGATAAGTTCCCACTTTTCCATCTCGTATGACATTCGCCACTAAATCGTTGGCCAATATATCCTTATATGGGTTCACATTGAAGTCTATATCCATTGGACTACCAGTGCTGTCGTAATTGAAAATATATCTCCAGTTCTCTCCTCCCGGTTCTAATCGCAAGCAATTCTAATAATATTGAAACCGGACGACCCATTTATATTATGCCGACGTTAACGGCTAACTTTTCGGCGTTCGCCGATTGGGCCCAAAGACATGATCGTCCCGTAATCGGGCTTAACTGGACCCGCGGGTTGAACAAACTGAGTTCGCTCACTGAGGTAAACGGGCATTTCGAAAAATTACTTCATCACCTGGAGCCTAATGGCGCGTTCGACGTGGTCGGCCATTTTGACTCGGGGCCACTCTGCGTGAGTTTGGCGCTCGCAGAGTGGGCCACAGTTAACGCGGTAATTGTTGACGCGTTTGATGAGCTTAAAATCGGCGACGACATTGACCAGGGTCGTTTGTCGCCGGACGTCGTGATTAAATTGGCAACCGCAGAGTTTCCGACAGCTGTACGAGCGACTATTTTACGGGATATAAATAATGAGCCTGATCTAAGTAAAAAAATAGGCATAATCGTAAAGGTGATGCTGGATATCGCGGGTAAAATGTTGCCGATAAATGATATAAAAGAGATTTTTCAGATTATGTACTCGCGCATTCTTATATTATCCGAGCACACCATGGATAAACGTACCACGGTGACCATGGAGCAAAACTTACTTGCCAACAAAATGTCGTTGTTGAAAATGACGGGCAAGTTGACTATAATTAAACCATTGAAAAATGTCCATGATTCCGATTTGAAGGCATTGATTGGTAAAACTTTGCGTGAATATTTTTTGCCAAACATCGAGGTAGGTTATTATCAACAAATAAATTATGTTAAATAATTGATTATATATCAATTTCTTAATTTAACAGGATGGTATTGGTAAAGTTTGTGTTGAATGTGTCACAGCTAATTACGGTCTGTTAACAATGAGCAATGAAATATTTGATAAAATTGAGCAAGCTCTTAAATAAAAATAAATGGAAACACATACACACATAAATTGGGATACAATGAGCTTTCTATCATTAAAAGTTTATTAATTTTAATTATATTTTCTGTTATTTTATTAAGTAATAATTTTGATTTTTATGATTTTAATAATTTGCTGTTATAAATTTTAATATTTTTAAATTTTACATTTAAAATAAATATTTTTAAAAATTAGTTGTATTAATTATAACTAATTAAACAAATTGATCTGAATTGGTCATTTTAATAATAATTTTGCATGAAACCCCTTTTATATATTTAAATAAATTAATTATCAACTAAACTAACGACATATTTATATAAATTTATCTCTAATTCAATAGAAAATTGATGTATTTTATTGTAATCAAGTTTTTCCGGTAGTTTATAAGTAAATCATTTACTAATTACAGTAATTTAGTTAACGTTTAGTTAGAATTGCTTTTTAGTATAACTTGTAATCCAAGCATTCACTGCTCGTAACACTGAACTGATAGCAAACCTGTCGGCTACGATAAACACCAATTCAAAGGTTACTTGGATAGGCCTATGCTATACAGAGCTAAACATTAAGTGTTTACTACATGCAAACTGTAAGCAATGCATAACATTGATATTATAATATTATACCATAGTATAATACTATAGTGAATATACTATTTATGCTTTGTGTACAGTTTAGATACAGTAAACACTTGTTAGATCTGTCTTGCATTTAGAGTCCACTTATTGAATGCAATATATTGTTAACATTGATAATATAGATGGCATTGCAATCCAACCGACCACACAAAAATAAATTCATGTTTAGAAATAGAGTACTGTACTTGATTAACTAATTTGATATGAATTGGTCATTGTTGAACTATGACCTCTATGTTTAATATAGAAATTAAATAACTATTTTAGGTGTTTCACTGTATTTTGTGTAAAAATATATTTATAATTCAATTTGTAAAATAGTTATTTTGATATGAATTGGTCATTGTTGAACTATGACCTCTATGTTTAATATAGAAATTAAATAACTATTTTAGGTGTTTCACTGTATTTTGTGTAAAAATATATTTATAATTCAATTTGTAAAATAGTTATTGACAACTTTCGAATTATTAATCGAATTTTAATTAGAAAATTAAAAATATTTTATTTTGTTCATAAACATTTATTTAACAAAAGAGATTAAAGTGAAAAATATTTCATAACAAAATTATGTTTTAAGTAATGATATTTCATTTTTATGTCTAAATTACAGCTTTAAATTCTTTTATGAATTTAATATTTTCACATTTATTTAATATTTTCATCTCATCGGCACTAATAAGGTATGCATTCATTGGCTTTTATAATAAAATCTTTACTTAAACCGTATTTACTTGTTTATCTAAAATTAAATATATTAAAATTGATTAAAACAAATTATGGTAGGAAAAAATGTCCTACATTTTTAAGTTATAATATTTTGAGAAAACAATAGGAAGTCTGCATGAATTGCTCATCACTTACTAAACCTAGAAAAATATTTTTACAAACATATCATTTTTAACAAGTCGACAGTTTTCATAAAATTGCATTTTTAAAAAATCATAAAAGATAACTTGAAACATATATTTAACTACATTCATGCAAGTATTTCAGGTGGTCTTGAATTTTTTTAATAGAAATTTATTTGCTTGATTATAAAAATCTCAAATGACTAAAAAATCTCCCAAACTTGAAATGTCAAGAAATATAAAAATACCTGTCCCTTGACGTGAGGTGTATGTGCTCTCAATATATAATTAGAGTACAAAATAAAAACTACTTTCACTTTTGGGAAACTCAGTCATTGCTT